CCCCCCCCCCCCCACCAGTGATGACAGGATGTTTTTTTTCTCCATTTCCCCTTCGTTTATTGCAGATAGCATTTCCCGTTCTGGGTATGTGTGGCAGAAAGATCGCTTTATTTCATTCGATATTTGTAAAGAAAGTGTTCTGAAAGAGGAGTCCTGGGAAATGATGTTTTCCGTTCTGAGTTTAATGAACTGAATTTCAGCAATTTGGTTGTAAACTGTAAGCTCTCTGGGGGGTTCAGCTTACCTTTCGAGTAAGCAGATCATCTCTCATGAGGCAATTTCTGATAAACTCGAGATGGAAAGCTGTTTTGTCTTACATTGAAGGTTTTTTTTTTTTTTTTTTAAATAAATATGTATATGTGACGATATATATATATATATCTGTTTGTGACGATATATATATATATATATATGTGTGTAGTGATAATGAGAAGGATCGGCTGTTTATAGGGATCTGCACCTACTATAATAACTGCTAAACGTCATATCGCACGGCCAGAATTGCAGGCCGGTCACCACTGCGGACGGCGTGGATAGCAGGCCGATCAGAAAGTTTTCAAGTTTTCTGATTGGCCTGCGATCTGGTCCGTCAGCAGTGGTGACCGGCCTGCGATATGGCCCGTCAGCAGCGGTGACCGGCCTGCTATTTGGGCCGTGCGATATCGGATTTTGAATTCTGCCCGTTGCTACCGGAAGCTTGCTCGTTTTCTTTTTTCCAGCTGCCCACCCCTCCAATTGCCCACCCGCTGGTCCGCCCGTTTTCCTAATCCCGGACCAACCCCTCTAATCGCCTGGTCGCCGGTTGGTACCGGAAGCGCCGAATCGCCCGATCGTCCGTCCGCCCGTTTTTGTTTCCTGCACACCCCTCCAATCACCCGCCCGGTCGTTTTTGTGTTGCCTGTGCACCATTCCAATCCCTGCCCGCCTGTTTTTGTGTTGCCGGCCACCTCTCCAATCTCCCACCCGCATTGTTGTTGCCGGTCCACCCCTCCAATCGCCCGCCCACTTTGTAGTTGCCGGCCACTTCTCCAATCACCCGCCACTTTCCGAACGTGCGCCTTTCTGAACGTGCGCGTGTGTGCTCCGTGGTCGGTGCTCGTGTGTGTGCTTCGTGGTCAGTGCGCGTGTGCTCGGTGGTCGGTGCTCTACCTGTGTGGTGGTCCGTGCTTTCTCTCTCCCTCTCTCTCTCTCTCTCTCTCTCTCTCTCTCTCTCTCTCTCTCTCTCTCTCTCTCTCTCTCTCTCTCTC